CCTCCAAGAAATCTAATAAGTATCCTTCAGGACCACCTGAATGGGTTGGAAGAACAGTGCCAAAGTAATTCTGTTCCTTCCTGAGTGGGAGGTTCTACTTGGTAGCCATGGGGGTAGAGAGAGGTTGGTTCTTCAAGTGCTTAATAAGTAGGAGTTAGACACCCCTGCTCTAAAGTAACATAGGATAGGTTATTTGCTTTAATCAGAAAACTATCAAAATGACTGCAATATTCCAGAGAATCAAACTACAGAACTGAAAAAAAAGCAAGCGATACGAATTTTCAATAAGCTGCTAAAAACCAGCTTGATTAATCAGTCTTATACATGTGGACTGAACATTTCAGATCCACAACTGTTGGGCAATAAAGTATGGTCATAGTAGACATATCTTATTACAAATCAGCTTTCCAAACTTGTACTTTTAAATGTCAATATTTAGAATTGCCTTAACCTTCATAATTACCTTCCTCTACATCAAAATGTTAAGAAAGTTCATTTTCAAGCCAAAAGAGAAACTCTCTTTGTAATATTCTATATTTTATTAAAAGGTAGAATAAGAAAAGACAGGGAATCTGCTCCAGATCAAATAGTGCACAGAATTCCAGCTGTCGATATTATATGAACAGAAATGTTATCAAATCATAGTAACATGAACTTGGGCAAATTTTATGAAGCTTACCTTGCATCTGCCAACACTATCATTATCAATTTCACATTTTATCATAACACATAAAGTACTGGATTATAATTATAATTGTTCTAAAAAGGGCCTTCTCATCTAATGACTATATGTTTTTAAGAAACAAATGGTTTATTTAGTATTTATATATATTTACACATTTAATTCTTACATGTGACACTAAATGGGTGGCTGCATTTACTCTTAATTTAATATTTATTATGTATTAGAGTATTAAATTAGAGAATTAAATAAAAAGTTTTAATAGGTAGACCTATTGATGATGTTTAATGCTAAATAGAAAGAACAAAAAGGTTTTGCTTACTAATTGAATGCCTCAACAAGTCATTGGTGGTTACTGCTAACAATTACGAGAAAACCATTGAACTCAACTTCGTTACAATAGTATTACGTAACAATTGTCGACATTCATAAAATTTTCCCTCTTTCTTTCGATCTTTCCTTTGTTGTGATTGTAAGTTCTCTACGAGTTGTAGTGTTACTTTTAAAGGGTTACTCTTGTAAATCGTCGACTTTTCTGTGACTTTGATACCTTTCCTTTTACGTACGAATAGCAGATAAGACAGGCAGTCACTGAATGAAGGCAATCAGTGAGTAGCCAAAGCTTAATTCACTTTTTTTTCTCAGCTACAAGGTTTCTGATTGACTAAAAATAGTTAAGATTCCATAAACCATAAGATTCTTTAAAGCAAATTTCCTGAAACCAAAATTCACATATAACTATATTAAAACTAAACAATTTATTTCAAGTAATTTTATTTATTTGTTCAACTTCTACAGTTGCCCATCTCAGTCAATGACTCTGAGCAGCTTGCAATTCAAAAAATATATTACAATCAAAATACTGAAAAAAACATTTTAAAAGAATAAAACAATGGAAACATCTAAAATAAATTTACATAGCAGCCAAGATATTTGGCTAATTAGCAATGCAGTCAGGAAACAGCCCTCTCACATAGCTGCCCAAAGTCACCTTGTAGAGGAGATGGGCAGCATAATACTTGAATAAATAAAATAAAAATAAAACTGAGCGTCCCAAGATTGGGAACATAGTCAAGTTTTTAGGCCTTACGAAAGGTTTAACAGGGTTGGGACCATTCTAATCTTGGAAGAGATAATGTTCCATAGGGGAGGGACCACTGCAAAAAGTGCCGTCTTTTAGTTCCTGCCAGCAGATACCCATTCTGCTAGATCTGGTTGGACAGGTAGAGACTCTGGAAAAAGGCAGTCCTGCAGTCTCTCAGATACCCCAGTCCCAGCTATGTAGGGCTTTAAAGGTAACTACCAGCACTTTGAATTGGCATGAGTTACTGTGAGGTTCAGGTATGGGTGCAACTGGTGCATCACCAAAAGCAGGAGTCGCAAGTCTAGAAGGACCCCCAGATTGTGCACCAGGTCACAGATGTAAGTATTTTGTCTCCAGAGGGTCCAAATACCCACAACCACTCTGTCTTGCGGGGGTTGAATTGTAATATTTTCCATATCAAATAAAATATAAAAATAGAGAAAGATACTGATATTCTACAAAATAAATTTTTAGTAAAAAAATGTTTTCTAAAATTTCTAAATACCCTCTAAATTTCTGTAAAATATACTTGATGTATAAAAGCTAAACTGAGGCATATAATCACAAAAGTGTTTCTGCTTACAAAGACCCTTGATATTTATATTAAAAGGCATGCTTTGTACTTCTCTACATAGCCAGAATCAATTTTTAAAACTCGTCTTTATCCCTAAATTATAATGCTGTCAAATATGGGTTTGATCAAATACCTATCATAGCTATGAGTTGTGTATTACACTTTCACAGGATCATGCAAACAATGAAATTAAGCACCTAGTAACATCCTACTAAACCAGTCATCTCACAATTCAAATCATAAGACAAACTAAATTTTCAATGGTCAAATACTATTTCCAGTACTAGAATTTCCATAATCTAGAAAAGTTTTCCTTACCTGGCCTCTTTTTGAAAGGTTATTGTTCAGCAGTAACCAAATAAAATGTATCAAAATGTGAGTTGATTTAGAAGTGAACTCTAACATGAATTTGCACTTTTCCCAAGTGAACCAACTGAAAACAACCTGAATGAAGCAACTGTTTTCCATTTCTTTTATCATTCCCTTTTTTTCCCCTCCCAAGTACAAAATAAAAAAAAATCCATTTTGACTTCAATACCACCAGAACAGCTTCAATTAGGAAGGAGAGAAATAAATTCTTGGATTACGATCCAAATATTTGGGAATGAGACATTGCTCGCAGGTAAAATCTGTTTTTACATCTATCAAACTTGGATTACTCCCAACAGCCTCAATACAGTGCTCTCCAATATTTTGCCCAGGGAATAATAATCAGAACATTAATCAGAAGATAGGCAGGAAAATGAAACAACAGACTGGATATACCTGTCAAAAGACAATTCCTCATTTGCCAGCCGGAACTGGGTCACTTACCCATTTGTCTAGAGGCACCTGTGCCAAGCAGCCGGTGCCTTGGTAAAGATCTAGCGTGAGCTGCTCCAAGCTGAGCTTCTCCTGGAGAAAGTGCCCCAGGTACCTCTGCAGAAGATACCTGCAGGCCCTTTTTTTGATCGATTCTGAGAAGGGCCAAGGCATGATGGCCAGAAAGAGAGAGAAAAAAAACTCTTAAGTGGAAAGATCGATGGGAAGTTCAGGGAAGTTAAAGGAATGGAGGACAGGAGCCGGGAACCGACAACGGGGTCTGTCAAGAGCACGAAAATGGACGGGGGAAGAAAAGGAGGGATCGACAGCCCCACAAGTCAGGCACTCAAGAAAGGGGCGTGCCGAGGCTGTCACTGAACGTCAAGAGAGTTGAAAGGGGGACCGGGGCAATAAGTCTGCTTGAGAGGCAAAGGGGACCTTCCGGGGACTGGGTCTCGGGTTAGTCGTCAGAAAGAGCCTCCCGACTCGTCTCTTCAGTCCTGGCCGAGAAAGCTTCAGGTCGTAAGACTTCCCAGAGCACCGCCGCGACAGCGAGAGCGGACGGTTCCATCTCGCCTCTCAAACCGCCGCCATCTTCTCCGAGGCCTGCCCCCCGCGAAATTTAAAGGGCCGGGCGTGGGAGGTTCACAGCCACGAGAGGGTCTTCGGCTTTTGCCCCCCCCCCCGACCTCGCTCGCCGTCCCGTTGAGAAGGCTGGCCGCGAGGTATTTCTCTTTCCGCCCCCTTTCCCCGCCCCACTGGCTGGGCGGAGAGGCCGAGTTGTTGCGCCGCTCAGCTGCGTCGCTTAGCACGCTTTGGAGGACGTCAGTCTTGCGAGGAAGCCTCGTCATCTTCTGGGCCGCGGAAGGGAGAAGACGCGGGGGAAAGCGGACCGTGGAGGTCACGTGACCCGCACGCCTTTGGAATATAGAGATAAGAGGAAGGAAGAGCAGCGGAGACCCTTAGTTTGCAAGTCCATGTCAGCATAACAAGGACGGGAATATTCACAAGCGCCGTGTAGGGAGATACTGAAAGGCTTTCCACTAATCCTCTATAGCTGTTTTTTTTAAAGATGCCATATTAGTTTGGTGGAAAACACATAAAGAACGGTTGCTGGAATTGGGTATGTCTAGTTTAATGAAAAGAAGGATTAGGGGTGACATGATAGCAGTCTTCCAAGATCTCAGGGGCTGCCACAAAGAAGAGGGAGTCAAGCTATTCTCCAAAGTACCTGAAGGCAGGACAAAGAAGCAATGGATGGAAACTAATCAAGGAGAGAAGCAACCTAGAACTAAGGAGAAACTTCCTGACAGTTAGAACAATTAACCAGTGGAACAACCTGCCTCCAGAAGCGGTGAATGCTCCAACACTGCAAGTTTTTAAGAGAGTGCATAACCATTTGTCTGAAATGGTATAGGGTTTTCTGCAGGGGGTTGGACTAGAAGACTGGAAGGTCCCTTCTAACTCTGTCGTTCCGTTAAATACGGAACGGCTGATCAATTTGTTCAGAACCAATGAGTGCACCAAAAGCTTGCACTTTGAAATCATGAAATTAAAATTTAAGTGATTATTTCAAAACTTTAAAATTCAGGGTTGTTTGTTTTTTTTAAAAAAAATAAAGACAACACTAAATGAAAAGTGGAGATTAATGCAAGTGTTAGTTTACAACGGCTATTTGTTTTAAAGTTTTTAAATGCAATGAAATATGCAGTAAAATCATCAGGTACTTAGGTTATCCTTAATTAAATACATTCCTAGCTCCTCTCCATTCGGATTCTCGTCTCTGCGGTCCTAGAATTCCCCTCCTTAAACCACGTGGAAGCGCCATTGGCACCGGAAGTGCCGCTGTTGTTTTCCAGGCCGCCAGTCGTTAGTGACCGTGGCACGTGACAGCTTGGCGAGTGGGAACAGGCGAGCAGGGGCGTCTTGCTGCCTACCGGCTTTCCGTAGAGAGGGGTTCGCTGTTCGGAGCGGAGAGGCTTATCATCTCCGTAGTGAAGGGGCCAGGAGCAATTCTCATGCAAGACCGATTCGACGAGCAGACGCCGAAGGAGAATGGATATGGATATGGGTAGATATGCCGTCGCGATAGGACCGCGCGCGGGGGGGGGAATCATCTGGAGGGGGGTTGGGTGGTTACACGGGAGACCGCGGGGGTGGCGATGCGACGGTTCAGTGCAACGTCGGAGAGAAAGGAGCATCCGCTGCCGGCATCTGCCCTGCGTTAGCCACTCTCCACCTGGGATCTTCCAGAGATGTTAGGACTACAACTTCCACGATTTCTAGAGAAAAAGGGAAGTTTCTCCGCCTCATTTGTGGTGTGTCGGCCCGAGAGTGTCCTTTATGCATTCGTATAGATCAGGGGTAGGCAACCTTGGCTCTTTTATGACTCGTGGACTTCAACTCCCAGAATTCCTGAGCCAGCATGGCTGGCTCAGGAATTCTGGGAGTTGAAGTCCACGAGTCATAAAAGAGCCAAGGTTGCCTACCCCTGGTATAGATGCTTTGCAACTGTACATGTGTTGCCAATGTATGAATATTCTCATTTAGTTTACCGACGCTTCACTGATAGTGTTACCTCCCTAACTGGGTAATAAAACATCGGCAAGTCAACAACCAAGTTCAGAAAGCACCAAAGACTTCCCCCAGTTCAACCTTAGTTACATATATTCCATTATTCTCAGTTAGGTTGCATGGGGAGCGGGAGTTGTGCCAGGCAAGAAATGCTGAGAAAGGGCTATGGGGTTGATGAGAAATATGGGCCTCTGGATTGTAGGATATCAGCGGCTCTTGGAGAGTGATAAGGGAGTGTCCTATAAAACAGAAGGTTGCAAACATGCCTATACAGGAAATAGTAATAAACGATGAGGTTAAGTAGAAGAAAGAGGAGGTAGCCTACTCTTTGTTGAATACACTGTTGGCTGATCAATTTGTTCAGAACCAATGAGTGCACCAAAAGCTTGCACTTTGAAATCATGAAATTAAAATTTAAGTGATTATTTCAAAACTTTAAAATTCAGGTTGTTTTTTTTTAAAAAAAAATAATATCTGTGATCTATTTGGAATATCATGTTGCCTAAATATTGTTGAATTGTAATTAAAGTTCTAGATTTTCTGAAAATTCACATCACATTTAGAAATGTATTAAAAGTTCTGGCTGAATAAATGCAAGAGGTCTTTGGATTTGTACTAAATATTATACATATATTTTTGTGTGCAGAATGGAGACTGATTATAATTCCATGGATGAATCCAATAACAGTGAGACTGAGAACCAGTCTGAATTCAAGGATTTTGAAGATGTGAAGGACATGAGAATAGAAGCAGAAGCTGTTGTGAATGATGTTTTGTTTGCTGTGAGCAACATGTTTGTCTCTAAAAGTCTCCCATGTGTTGAAGATGTAGCATACATCAATGTGGAAACTAGGGAAAAGAACAGATATTGCCTGGAGCTAACAGAAGCAGGACTCAGGGTAATGTTCCTTTTGCGTATATATTTTTAAGTATTTGCTGCAGACTAGTAAACAACAGTACATTGTTACAAAAGCAGTCTACTTCCTTTTCCTTAAGTTCCAAATATTTTATATAGAAAATTTCCAGTAATCAGTAATTTGATGCAAATTACCCCATTTACTGTAGCTATAAAAATCCATGAAATATATCTTTAGTATTAGTCAGTTCTTGAGAATTCCGTGTTATTGGTTGTCTTTTAAAAGGGGGAAAAAGCTCTGTAGTACATTTTATGTCATCTTACTTTATACACGTGTTTATATTGTGTTGGATCCTTTCTTACTTTTGAAATGTATTTTTCTTTTGTAGGTGGTTGCTTATGATTTTGACCACGTGGATGACAGTTTACAGAATCCCTACCATGAGACTGTCTACTCTTTGTTAGACTCAGTTAGTCCAGCATATCGAGAAGCTTTTGGAAATGCATTACTTCAAAGACTAGAAGCTTTGGAAAGTGATGGGCAGTCCTGATTGAATCTACAACCAAAAAATGTTGTAACTGAGAATTTTGAACAGCTTATACTGAGAACTGGCAAAGGAATACTTTGTTTATCTTGCATTTCTTGCTTTTAAAATACTTGCTCTACTAGTTGTAATGGCACTACCTTCGTAACTGATGTTGTTCTCAGTAAATAAGTCAATTTGTTCTCAAAATTTCAAACAAAGTTATAGTTCTTGGTTAATTTTTTTTCAAGTGGTTGAATAACGTTTCAGTTTTAATCTGTATTAAATCAGTTCTTAATTTTAGTAATAACTGCAGTTGACATTAAATATTTGTAACAAGATAATGCTTGTTCAAAATTTGCACAATAGTGTTTTCCAAGACTAACTAGTTTTATGAAGAACAGAAAATTGCCTTGCCAAGCTTAGTAAAATAGATTTTTCATTTACAATATTTATCTCAAATTTGTTGTGCATTCTCTAACTCACTAGGATATCATAATGAATGCTCTTAAATTGTATAATAAGATACACTCATAAACATTTTAAGTCCAATACTTATTAGCAGTAAGAAGCAGTGTTTATTGTATGGGTTGCAAACTGAATACTGAACAGAAGCTGAATTGTTGGCATAATGAATGTATTCATCAGTTGAAATACAAATGGTGTAAGCACAAAGATAAGGAACTAAAAAGTGCATTCTTCATAAAGCTCCATCTTTCTTACAGTTTTTGCTAAAATGGAATACATATTTACAGTTTAAATGTTTACATAATGTACAGTATATTGGAAAGTATTTTGCACGCCTTAATATATTCCCAGTTACTAAATATTTCTATATTACCTTTAAGTATTTTAGCCATTGTTTTAAATTAATGTACAAAATATTAACTCAAAACCAAAGAGTCAGGTTGGATTTGAATTGAGAGAACAATTAGGTACCTAAATATGAAATTTGCTAACACTGCTGCTGTAATGTTTTGTTTTTAATTTTTACTGCTTACAAAAAGGGCCTGTTTTTAAATGAAAGTTTATGTATAGCATAGTAGCACTGTGCAGTGATACATTTTGCTATATAATGATAACATTCCTATTCTCAGACAGATGGACTTCATAGTTTGAAGAACTTAAATGTCTTGCGCCTTTGAATCTATTTGGGTGTTAGATACCTTAGCTGAGAATTTAGTCCAGGAATTTACATTTTTAATTGTTATAATGCTGTATTTCATTTTGTACATTTGTTTAAAAATATGAAGTGCACAAACGAGTACATATATGCTCACATTTAGATTTATAGGAGGAAATGTACTTTACGTAGCTGACTTTGTTTTCCTTTGTGAATAACCTAGCCATGTTTATTGTTTACTTATTTATGTTAGAGGCTGTACATTTAAATAAAGGCACACAAATGATCTGTACAATGGGTCTTGTACTCTTAGGACCCCTTCCCACTTTTAAAAATTGAGCTTTTGTTTGTATGGGTTATATTTATCAATATTTACGATATTAAAAATTAAAATTGATGCATTCACTGCCTCTATCATTTCTCATAATTTGAAGGGATTTTAATACTGAATTATTTTTCAAAATAGACTGGCAAATAATTTTGATTTTGAGGACCTCTGAGAAGGGTGCTAAGATTAAGAAAAATTGATAACAGAGTAATAAATGTAGCCAGTGTTTCTGATTAGATGTACATACAAGCGTTGGACAGATGGATGGCTGTGTTTCTTCCCAATTATTATCCTTCTGTTTCCCTCCATGTTAAAATCTGCACCCAAAATCAAGTTGGATTGATGTTTCAGAAGGATGCTCTTAATTCGCCAGGGTGGTTGGACTGCAGCTTTCGACCCTGGGCGTCCGGACTGCGATTGAGGAGCGGTGCGGTCCATCGAGATATGATAGTTGTCTGATTCCCCAACTCCGACACGCCGACTTGTTATCGAGGAGACCCCGCTTTGGAGGCTGGCGTAGCGGAGCTCCTTCCGTTTCAGTCTGAAGCCCCGCCCACTTCTCGTCTTTCGCTACTTGCCCTTTGCTCCTCCTCCCATTCCTTTGCCGATGCCAGCGCGCGACTCGGTTGCCCAGCAACCTCCGGGCACTTTGTCAACGGCAACCATGTCGGACGAAGAGGAGGCGGTGGCGGAGGCAGAAGAGATCATTCGCAGCCAGAGGATCTTCCTCAACCATTTGGACAGCTATGGCGGCAGAAACATTGGGAAGGTGGGGGCGCAAGGATGCATTGCTCAGAAACGGGAGGGAGGGTGGTCGTCCGCTTCGGGGCGCGCCGCGGACCCGCCAGATGCATCTCCATCGCAGCAAAGTTACGGGAAAGTCTCACTCGACTGAATGGACGGCATCATCATTACCTGTAGAGGGCTGGAAAGGAGGGGAAGCACTGGGGAAAGAGTCCACTCGGCTTTTTTCTAGTCATGCTATATAAGTTACCACTCTTTCAATAGGTTAATTGGATGGGAAGGAGTGAGAAAGGAAATGAGGGATGTCTGAATATTTGTTGGACTTTGATAGTTGATGGCATAAGTTCAATACAAAATATCCTACTTTTCCTATAGCCATTCAAAGTAGCCAATTTTTCCAATCCCCAATATTCAGTGAGATAGTCCGTAGTAATAAGATTAGGGATTGGGCTGACAGCATTCAAGGATCTTCCCAATGTTTTAATCTCTAAATCCCACTGTCTCTGTATTTGAAGTAAAATGTTTATCTTCAAAACAGTTTACTAAGTGATTATATATCAGTTACAGTTTTACATGTTTTGGGAGCCCTCCATCTGCTGTTTATCTGCAGGAAGTCAGTTAGTCATCATGAACCCTGTATATTCTGCTGTAGGGGATAAGCAATTCTTATGAAGAGTGTAGTTGTTTGATATGAATAAAAAAAGGGCAATGAAAAGAAAAAATCAACTTTAGACATCATATTTTCTACCCAAATTAGGCCTTTCTCCTATGTTGCTTTTAACCAAATACAGTATTTTCATGGCTTTTTCTTTTACCTGCCAAATCCCTAGATCTTATTTCATTCTTAAAAACTTATTTATTAAATTTCATTATTAAAAACTTATTTATTAAATGTATATGCTGGCCATCTTGCTGTCATATAACTCTGAGCTGCTTACAACATAACAAAAATAGTATTGCAAAATATTAAAACAGTAAGGATAAAAACAGAATTAACACAATTAACTAAGTCAAAAGGGTATACAATGGGTTAAAGGTGGAACCCTCTATTTAATCCAATAACCACTTCCAAAATGGCACACCCATATCTGGACCACAGAACAACCTGTAAGCCATATTTTAAGGCCTTTTTGGAAGGCTAAAGAAGGTGGAGGTGGATCTCATATTAAGAGGTACAGTGTTCCAAAGGGTGGGAGCCAGGATAGAAAAGGCTCTCCTCTAGGACTCTGCCAACCATATATTGTGAGGGAGATTAAACCTTGTGGCTTTTTCATATTCATATCTATATCTTTGTATTCCCCCCCTTCTGGGACAGGATTTTAATTATTTGTATCTTTTATTTTTCACATTTTTGAACTGGCCAAGTCTCTCAATGTATAACATACTTGCAATGATTTATTCAATTAATTCATCAAAAGTTCTAGTGTTAGTCCACACCCATTGACTAAATACAGAGGAGTTTGCACACGATTATATGCTAAAATGTGGTTATCTAGCTTCTCATGCAAACATGCTATCCTATATATTCTCCAATACTTTGTTAAAGCCAGGACTCAAACTCCCCCTTAACAATGTACATAACTGAATGTGGTAGTGTAAGTAGCTGCAAGTTAGTGAAGATATAATTGTACAATGAAACACAGGTCAGTTTCTTACATTATGGCAACAACATGATTGGAGGGAGTTTGATTGTGAAGGGGGGTATCTGTAATCAGGAACTCTGTTATTGAGATACTGTGATGTGAATAGCTATTTGTTGAATTGGGCTGTAGCTTGGGATATTGCTTCTGCACCAATTCTTGCTCCATATGATTCTTTTCTGAATTTCTGGAACTGATACTTGGGCTGAAAATACAGAATTTCCACTGTTGGGTAATTCCAGCCTTCCTGTCTAGAGGTTGGTTCTTAGGAGTTCATGTCTTCCATGAGCTTGTCTCAAATAATGTCAGGCCTATCACATGTAGTGGTCATATAGCACTTTTTTTTCTGAACAGTTGTGTGATCTAGAGAGGTTTTCTATCACCCCATTTACATCCTGATCATTTGCAATTGCTGGTCACCTGTGACTTTCATGTAGTGATGGCATTTATTCAGATAGTCTACCTGATAGATCCATTTAATTTTCAAAGAGCTGCTTGGGGAAGCTATGTATACAGTCACATTTGTCAGAGCTTTGGGAGAACTTAATTAGAAGATGCTGGTTTTTTGGGACAATTACAGTGCTTTGGAACAGCCTCCCAACTGAGGTCAGGCTATCCTCTTTACTTCTACGAAAATGTTGAAGATGGAAGTATTTTGAGGACAGTTGCAATAATAATTATGATTGCTTTTAATCAGATTGTGGAATTTCAACATCTTATTTTCTCTGTACAGTAGGCCACTCAGAAAAATTGATTACAGCAGGATAGAGGTTTACAAATGATGGCTGAAGGCTTTATGGTTTTTTTTTATTGAACAAGAATAGATAGCAAAAAGAGAAAATAAGAGTGCATAAGATCTCATATCAACTTGTTTTTTTGAGAGAGAGAGAGAGAGAGAGAGAGAGAGAGAGAGAGAGAGAGAGAGAGAGAGAATTTATTATTTTAACAAGGTTGCCGAGCGTCTCGGCATAGTCAGCCTATCCCAGTGTTCGAGGGAAAAGCCAGCTGTTTAAATCTTTCTGGAAGGCTAGAAGGGTGATGCCTGCCAGACCTCAGGAAGAGTGTATTCCACAGGGCAGGGGCTGCCACTGGGAGACACACTCCTAGGTTACAGCATTGAGATAGATAGATAGATAGATAGATAGATAGATAGATAGATAGATAGATAGATAGATAGATAGATAGATAGATAGATAGATAGATAGATAGATGAAATAATGAATAACACTGAATTACCTTTCACCATCTTATTATTTATTGTACATTGTAAGTATCTGGCCAATTGTATTGTTGGAGCCTCCTTGGAAGAAATAGCAGAGGAAGAGGAAGAAGATGAGGAAGGAAAATCAGTTGTTGAAACTGGGCCTCCTAAACCAAAAGAAGGAATATATCAAATAGTGGGAACTCTTTCACAGGCAGAGAATACAAAACCAGATTTTGCCACGGAAGTATATACAGTAAGTATTCAATTTATTGAATAAAATTCTGGATGTGCATTTGATTCACACAGAATTTTTTTTAATTGCAGGATCTTGCAATATAAAGCAGCAAAAGAAAGTATATGGTGAATATAGGTATTCTTGGGTACGGAAAGGAGTAACAAATGATAAACAGTGTATTATGATAATACAGATTTCAGCCATTTTTTATATACACTTCAATATTACATGTCAATGAAAACCAGAGGGCAGAGTTTGTGTTGCAATTGCAAGCTTCATTCTGACAATTCTCCTGATTCAGTGGACACTTGGCCATAAAGTCCTTATCGCCTGGTCAGTGCAAGGATTCAGATTTAAGCATCACATATATATGACTGCATAGCCTCTATCAGTGAAGAGGTACCCAGTTCCTTGATCTAATGAATAATCCCTCTGCTGAACCGCTCTAATTGTTAGAGAGTTTCCCAAATGTTCAATTTTCCTAATGTTTTCCTAATGTTCAATATACTTTCTGTAGTTTAAGGCCTTAAACTTAAAACTTTTAAGTTTAAGGCCATTATTCTGGGTTTTACTCTTTGAGACAATAGAAAACAGATCTTCACCTTGTTTATGGCAACAAGACAGGGTCTTAAAAGTGCCATTACATGGTCTTCACAATCTGTTCTTTGCTCTTAGGAGGAGGGTATTGGTGCCTTGAGTTTTATATAAAATATATATTAAAAGGTGGAAAATAAATAAGTAAATAAATAAATAATGTGCTCTGCCAGTGGAACTATTATTTTTTGTTATTTGGAAACTATATTGCACTTATACATGTTCAGACAACACATGTCTTTTCAGAAGTTGTTTCATATACAGCTTATTCATATGCTTATTTTATATGCATGCTGTGTTATGAAATTTTTAAAAACCCTGTAATTTGCATTCCATAGCTCTGCAGTGCTTTCCTTGTTGCATTCCATTTGATATTTCATACTGGTTTGATGATAAATCACTGAAAAACTATGGTTTTAAAGCTAGCCATAATCATGCCAAATTTTATCTTTGGTGGTTAAATTCAGTTAGGCAATGAGAGATTTATATCAAATGAATATCAATGGTAAAAATTCACAATCTAAGATAAATTGCTTATTTTTAGACAACTTCTCGAGATGAGTTGCTAGCTCGCATGTTAGAATGTGATATCATTATTTATAACATCACTGAAGACCCAAAAGAAATTGAGGAGGCAACCTGGGCAGCAACAGGTCAGTCAATTTGTTCTTTAAATAGTAGGGAAAATGTAATAATCTCATATTAGCAAACTTGTTTAGATAATCTAGTTTAGCAAATGAAGCATTAAATTATAAAGAATTTCCTTAAATCCTTCACTTGGGCGTATCTTGCTGTTTTTTTCCTTATTTTTAAATTTGTGCTAAATGTATAGTATCTTAAGACATTCATACTGAGTGACTATTTGTCCAGTGACACTGCTGGATTAAATGGCTTGATCCAAGTGCACAGGTGAACTTTAGCAGTGCTTATCATAATGCTTAAATTGGAATGCATAGGCTAAGTTCCTTGTGATGTGATAGAGGATTATCATACGCTACTTAAGTCATAGGTTTTCAAACTCACTCCAGCTTCAAAATTATCCTGTATAATCATATAAAATACTGTAAGCAGAAAGCAGTCAAGTGTGAAATCCTGATATGTGTGTATCACAGTCTTCGTGAATGGATTACGATATCTGTCTTCTGCAATTAAGCAGAAGCTTAATTGCAATTAAGCTTCATATGGACTATATAGCTACATCGACCCCACCAACAGGTAATGGGTGGGCATTATAGGAATTTGACAATACATTATTTAGTACAGTAATGCTATTCTTTGTGTAGTACTGGGGAAAGATAAAGCCCATCGATATTTGTGATAAGGTATAAATTGAAACATTTTCTATTTATATTAACCTATAAACAGCATTACACGCAGAATCAAAACACTTTGAAAAGCAGAAATTATTTATTCTTCTATCAACAATAATGACATGGGCACGAAGCAAGCCTCTTGATCCGGTGAGTGATGGAAAAAGCAAACAAATAATACAATATAATTAATTTTACTGATTAGTTTTCTACCAACCTGAAAACTGAGATTAATTATTGCTATCGCATACCATCTTCCAGATAAGCCACTGAGAGGTCTTGATAGTATTGAGCTTAAACCTATTTCTCCCCATTAAGATTTGAATAGCCTTCAGGTGAAGTGTATTAAAAACATGGGAGATTTTCAATGTTCACATTAAGAAAATCATCCTCTGCCTATCTATTCTATCCAGGAAGATCCAGAAATACCTTTTACTGAAGAAGACTATCGTAGAAGAAAACCCCACCTTAATTTTATGGAACACATCAATGCTGAAAAAACCATTATCAAACTTGGGAAAACAGTAAGCATTAACACAAAAGGTTGTATATTTCCAAGCTTTATAGAATCCAAGTCCAAGGATTCCATTGTCTCTAGAGGCTCTTTCTGACTCTTTCACTTAGAAAGAATAAATGCTATAAATATTTTATCTTCTGCAAGTAGATTAAGGGTCCAAACTTTGCAGTATCATGATCCCCTAAAATAGTAAATGGATGTGATCGTCATGAATAAAACTATCAATTTCACTAGGATTAGGATTAGATAATAAGTATATAGCTTTTAATAATTAAATGGTTCCCAAACTTTCTGATAGTAGGAACTATCTACTTACCCTCATGCATGCACAATTTTTCAAAGTCATCCTTGCAAGTTCAAGACAGAAGTACTGTCAAAGGATTTAGTTTTGTAAGCTCCCTCTGATGTTCACAACTCCCTGCAAGATTGAGACCAATAATCTGAGAACCCCTAAAGAAGTCCCTCCCCCCCAAAAAAAACCACTGTGCAGTGATAGCACCATCCTTTCATTAGCTAACAAGAATAGAGGCTATTGAAAGTAAGGAACTGTCAGCAAGTAAAAATGATTGAAATTATCTACTGAAATGTCTGGTTATTTTGAAGATTGGCCTGACTATTAGCCCTTGCTTAGACGTTTTAACTTGCCTCTTAAATTTAACATTTTAAATAATTTCTAAACAGGACTTTTTTTTTCTTCTCAGCCCAGGTACATCTTTTATCTCCATCCAAGTTTGCTGTTCTAATTTATTCTCTTCTACCTTATTACATGGGTTGTTAAAGTAGAAATGAATTCAATTACTTTTCTAAATTTCTTTGAATAGAGACTTTTTTTAATCTTTCTCCCCAGAACAAAAACAAATTTGGCACATATGTTGTTGCTTCAGGTGTTCAGTATGGAGCTGAAGAAAGACTTCTCCACTACTTTTTTAAGGTAATGTATTACAAAATTAATATTGTACAACTTATCCAGAAAGAACATATCTAACCTAACAGATTAGAATGACTAGTTAATCCCAGCACAGCCTTCTAATGGAGCTTTTTTAAACCAGCAGATGGCAATAGCTGTAGAATGCATTCCCTGAAACTGCAGCCTCCTCCATCATTAAACAGAACCCTAGAGGCTTTCAGAAATGTATTTATTATTACATTACATGTAGTTTTAATCACATTAAAACATTTATTTCTATCCTGGCACAACCTATTTATTTTGGCTTACCTATTTTTGAAATATGGTCCATGACAAGTCATTCAATACCGAAGTGCTGCCTTCAACCCAAAACAGTTTTGTACTCCTTGTCTAAGGTATTCCCATTCATGGTTCCTAATCTACCTCCCCTACCATAAAAAAGCCAAGATACGTTTTGCAATCATGCATTTTCTCTATCATTTGTAGTTGTAATTTCTTGTCATTTAATGGCTGTTTATAATACAGCCAGACATAGTATTCAAGTTCTACAAAACCTGTAATTAATGTGGTCCTTTTCATTGCTAAGCTACCTTAAGGGAATGATACAAAAATGTACTACTGTATATATGTACTACTGTACTACTGTACTACTGTAAATGTACTACTGTAGATTAAGCCACTTTGTAAATATTTGCAGTTATCTTGGCTTGGGGAGACTCCTATAATACCATGTTTTGGAGATGGACGAAATGTGGTTCCAACCATTCATATTACTGACTTAGCAGCGTAAGTATACTTTTTTTTCTTTTTTTTTTTGCTGTACAGGTAGTTGTTGACTTACAACCATTCATTTAGTGACAGTTCAAAGATACACCGTTGTAGCATCCCTCTAGTCTTGTGATCAAAATTTGAGCACTTGACAACTGGCATGTATATATGACAGTTGCACTGTCCTGGGGTCATATGATCATCATTTTAAATTTTCCCAATTGGCTTCTGTCAAGCAAAGTCAAGGGGGGAAGCCAAATTCACTTAACAACTGATTCACTTAGCAACTGCAGTGATTTACTTAATAACTATTGCAAAAAAGGTCGTAGAATAGGGCATTAGTCACTTAACAACTGCCTTGCTTAGCAACAAAAATTTTATGGCCGTAAGTCAAGGGCTATCTGTATCCCAGAACTTCAGAATTTTGCTGATGTCTTCCTTGTGGCGCTATTGAAACTAATAACATGTTCCCTTCATGTTCATGGTAGTGAATCAGTTACAATGTTCTTCACCTTGAGTTATGTGTAAAAATAATAAAGACGAGATACAAATAAATAAAATATAAACAAGCTTTAAGCCTTTTTGTAAGTTTCCAAATTGATTTATTTTAATTTATAGATTCCTGCACTTTAAAAACATCCATTAAAAAGAATGTTGCCTAATGCCAAATACTTCACAAAAGTAAAACTTTTATGTCTTTGGTTCCTAAACTTGGATGAAATGATGCAATTGATTATCTGATTTAATTATCTGTGAGAAATAGTAGAGAGCCAGTCTGATACAGTGGTTAAATTATGAGATTAGAAAATTAGAGACTCTGCCTTTGGCACAAAGCCAGCTTGGAGACCTTGGGTTAGTTACTTTCTCTCAGCCTTAGGAAGGAGGCAATGGCAACCAATTGTAAGAAATCTGCAGGAATTTTTCCAGGCAGTCTCTGAAAATTGGACTCAATTGAACAGAAGAAGAAAAAAAGCAATAGTTACAGAGTGCTAATAAGGAAGGGATATCTTTAGTTACTTTGGGTCAACTCCCCCTCCTAACACTGCACCATTACTCTTTTAAATTTACAAACACTATTGAATCAATTTTTCAGGAGTTACGTGGAAGAAACTAAATTATTGTTCCTTTACTTTTATATATTCATTGTATACTATAATCACTGTACATTCTGTGTATCCATTCACATCAGAGTGTTGCAGAATATAGCAGATCATAGACCAAGGACCAATTACTTAATTGCAGTGGATGAATCAACACAAACCCTGGGTGAAATTGTGAAGGTAAAGTAGTTGAAGAATTTTAATTTGTCAGATTTATTTTCATGGTACGCAACACATTTTCAAAATCTCTGTTCTAAATACAATTAACAAGATGTTGCAAATAGAAGACAAATGAAATATATAATAAACACAATTTATAGAGCTAAAGGGGAGAATTTGCTATTACCAGAGGAATCAGAAGGTCACACCTACCTTTTCCAATTCCCCCCTGCCTGAAATAGGTTAGAGATTAAAATAATATATTAAACCGGAAACCAGATAAGAAAGAAATGATTATTGTCCTAGGATCACAATCCTTGAAAGATGATAAATCTCTTGAATAGAGTTATGCCTGTCCAAAAAGCAGATTTACAATTTAGGGATGTCTCTGGATCACATCTCTAACGAAAAATATAGAAAGAGGTTGCTTAGGTTACAGCTTCTACAATCTGCAGCAGTTCTATATGGAATTGCAGGGGTAGCATTGAGCAAAAAAAATGGCAGATTATGCTTTGTTTCTTAGCACCATTGATTCAATATTAAGTGTTAATGTTATAGCTTTATGGCTTAAAAATAATAAGCAATACTTTGCACTTTTAATGATTGGTTATTTGTGGTAGATTTAAAACTTTTCTTTTTTTGTTGTTTTTTTCCATAAGTGCATCAGCAAAAATGTGGGCCCAGGAAAAATGCAGAAGATTCCAAGAGAAAATGCTTTCCTGAGTAAAGATTTAACGGTACTATTACCTTTCTGAATAGTTTCTGCTAGAAATAATATCTAGCAATAGATCATTTGAAAAAGAGATTTGTATTGCTCCCATATTGACTTCATTTAAATAAGGCCTTAAAATGTTTGGCTAGGTTGGGTTGTGGGAATGTTATTATGTCAGATGGGGTGTTCGTTGTTCTATTCTGGATATTCATTTTTTTCTCATTGTATATCTATTTCAATCTTTCTTTTAATAGTTTATGTTGCCCAGAATTGTCATGGAGGTGGGCAGACTTGTAAATTTGATAAAGTTCAACTGATTGCAGTTTCCTTTAAAAATAAGATTTGGTGTTGCTCAGGTTATCCAATGTGGTCAACATCTCAGACTTCTAACTAACTAACCAGGAGTTTCCAGGGATTTAAGATAAATTAAGAAGTTGAAAAAACAGTGTCCAAAAGCAATAGCAAACCACTTCTGTAATGTTGCCAAAAATTAAAATGAAGGTATGCATGGATATAGTTTGTAAGCCTAAATTAGTACATCGATAACATTGTTTGTTTGAGTTACAGAGAAAATACCCCACTGTAAAATATTCATTGGGTTCAGTTGAAACTTCTTTTTAAAAATTCATATACTCTAGCTGAAATTCTGAAACCCAAATGTCAGAAGCAATTATTGTTCTTTATATTATTCACTGTTTCATCCTGCCATGCGTTTAAGAACTGCCTCTGACATCTTGCATAAGTTCCATCCTGCTCTGAAGAAAGAGACATCTGCACTTAGTGGAACTTTTATCAGTTATAGCCTGGAGAAGGCTCATGATTTTTTTCTGATTCCCAGATTAAGATATTTATAATTCATTGGGAATTTAGAAAAGTGTTGTTTCACCTTGTTTGTTATTTATTTGTATTTTAAAATTTAATTTTAATTATGAAGTATGCTACTATATTATACTATGCAGAAAGACAGTTTAGAAATACAGCTAATAACAGTTTCTTGCACTTCCTTCAGCAAACATACTTGGATGAATTGTTTGTGAATCTACGAATGGAAGCTGTATTCTTGAAAGAGAACTTCAACATAAGATGGGTTGCTCAAGGAGGGATAGTAGATAATATCGAACAAGTTGTCAATGAGTATAAACTAACTCGCGGATTATTGGTAATAATAATGGAAATATATACTTACAATGAATGAGTGAATTGTGAACTGTTATTTTCTGTACAATTTAGAGAAAACATGTATTTATATATCAGTTTGGAAACAGCCAAAGTCAATCAGCAGAGACTTGCCAACATTTAAAGCCATCTGCAAAAGAAACTTAATGACATTTTAAACTGCTGACCTTGTAGACAAAAAAACAAAAAAGAGTAGACAGGAACTATTACTATCATAGAGCAAATTGTGTTTGTCCAGACGAAGTATGAGCCTAAAGGCTTACATTCAAATCCAATTTCATACATGAAAAGAGAGATTCCTTACCACCTAAACATGTTTGATTCAAGAATATTGTGTGAATCAATTGTGTAGGCCCTCTATGGATTAACTGGTCCATTGAAGATCACCACTGTTTCTGGTAATTTGTGTGACCAACTTCTAATATTTACACCATTTTGTTCAATGGTCCAGCCCTTATAAATAGTTTCTCGACCCTTCCTCTCTCCCAGCTGTAAACTGAGTGTGACATATACATGTCTCAAAAATTATGTAAATATGGGAAATCATGGTTGCATTGTCTATTATAGTTGCCTTTTAAAAATATTTCTTTTAATCCACGGTCTTGATTTAAATTGTGAAGAATGTACTTAAATACTTCTTATTCCCTTTTTATGCAGATGGGAATGCCCTTTGTCCCTATTTTCTATTAAGTAAAATTCTGTTTTGTGTAAACTTAAATCATATAAATATAATCCTATGATACTTTGATCCTATAGTATGGTTTTTCAACTATATCTGAGACAGGATTTTATTTATCAACAGAAATTGAGTGGGACCCCATCACGTGGGGGGTAGGACTGGCTGCAGTTTTTTTCTTCTTCTTTTTAACCATGAAAAGCCTGTTCTAAGGCTAGCACTGTACCTTCTTGTGTTTCCTACCCCCAGTGGTACCCCCAACATTATTTTCAGCAATTATCAGCAATCAGCAATCATGAAAGTCCTCTAAGGGCTACAAAAGTAGAGCTTGGGGTACATGTGGTCCTTGGGCAAAAGTCGCTCAATTATACTATATCCTATGCTATCTTATACCCATGGATGGACTAAATCAGTATGGATAGTTATGAAGTATTCAGTGTTTTGCCAACCAGTCTGCTATGAGGGAGACAAGCCTATAATTGCACCCACAAAGAATTTTTCTAAACCATATCCTTCAGCTTTTGGAACCTGAGTAAAGATAATATATTTTTTTCATTTTAATTTTGGTCATGGTGCATGAAGAATTATTAAT